CCCCCCGTCCCAACTCACTCAGTGCGTTTGGGCCCCGTGTACACCTTTTTCAGGATTACGAATCCATGCGATCTGTGTAAACACAAAGACACCTTTCCGAAACCACCGCTGTCTAGATCCTCCTTCTCCAGGACGTCACTGGACTTCATCTTAATGTCATCCAAGGACATGTTTGATTTCCCTCAAAATGCTCAGAACGCTCAAAAATAAATACACCTCTTCCCCCCCTCAGAGCTGTGTCCTGTAAAGAAAACAAGAGGACATCTCAGTACAAAAAAGTCATTATTCAAAAAACTTATGTAAAGTTCCATCATATGCTTGGTGTGCCTTTCCTTACAGACTTATAAACTCTATGATGAACATTTTTTCATATTTCTAAGAATCACGGAAGACCACAATTTTTATTCCTTAGACTTTCATTTCTGGCAACATGGAGGACTAAAAAATTTTAAAACCCTCTTGCTACAAAGGACCTATATATGTTGGGTAACATAATACAAGCATCCATTCCAGTGCACAGCTAGGCTTAGTGGAAAGGAAAAAGAACTTCAGGGACTGCAAACAAACAGGGTGCTGGTCACGGGGCTGTGGCCCACATGGTAGCTGCTATGGAATAAAGGTTTGTGTCCACCCCAAAATTCATATGTTGAAGTCCTATCCCCAATGTGGTAGTATTAGGAGGTAGGGTCTTTGGAAGGTAATTAGGTCATGAAGGTCGAGATCTCTTGAATTGAGATCAGTGTCCCTATAAAAGACATGAGTTTTCTTTCTCCACCTTGTGAGAATACAATGAGAAAACGGCCATTTGCAAAACAGGAAGAGAGCCCTCACCACATCTTGATTATGGAATTCTCAGCCTCCAGCACTGTAAGAAATAAATGTCTATTGTTTAAGCTACCCGGTCTGTGGTAATTTGTTATAGCAGCTAAACTGACTAAGACAGCTGTTCTCTAGGGCCCTACTAACCTTGCCATCCAGAGGTCAGAGCTTAAAGCCAGACAGGGACAGGGGCTGAGGTCAGAGAAAGCAAGAAAAGAAGGTTGAAACAAAGATCTGCCCACCCCCTGCCCCGGCCCTTAACATGGCACTTCTCAATGTGTTACCCTACCCCTCAATGAAAGGATGGACTAGAAAAAAAGCAGTCCACTATGTGAACGGAAAAGGGGCCACATGTTAAACTTGACAAGCTCAGGAGACGGAAAATAACCACAGAGGATGGCGTGAACATAAAAATTCCTAACAAAGGTGGGTCATGGCGGGAAGTCACATCCTTGGCTTGTAGCTTCCTTGACAAAGGTCACTCTTTACCTTAAGTTTGTCTGTCGTCTTTCTGCATCTAAGATAACATACCCTTATGATACCAGAGTAATCTCTTTTTCTGGAACCCCCAGGGGGCACAACCCTCCACACCAGAGCAGGAAACTACAAAGTCCCTCATTGTTATCTTGTTCCCCAAATACGATCTCTAAGTGCTGTAAAATGCTATTAATTATGCTGTACCCACCAATGTAAAAGAAGTATGTGTCTCTCCATTTTACTTTTTATCCAATCCCAGAGATTTCCCCGCTTTGCTTTCTCCCACCCCCTTAATCTACAACCAATGGATTTCATCCTCCCTCCTTTGATTCTAATGTAGAAAATGTTACAAAATGGCCATTTTCTGGAGCATTTTCTCAATCCGTTGAGATTTTGCTTCCCAGCAATTGTCATCAGTTTGGCTCAAAAAAACTCTTATAAATTTTCTCTTAGGCTGGGTATTTTTCATCAACATTACTTGGCGTAGTCGGCAGGATTCCAAAGAAACCCACCCAGGAGCACCCTGAGGATCTGGGTTCAGTGCTAGGTACCAGCTGGGGCCCCTTGTGCCCACTGGCTCCCTGCTTCACATCAGGTGAACTTGGGTGAGTTTTTCTTGGAATTCCAGGCCTCCCTGTTTTAAAGTAAGAGGCCATGACTTTATTTGAGCTGTTTTAAAATCCTTGAAGTGGCAGGGTTGAAATAACCCAGGTTAAGAACAAGAGTTAAGGTAACTCTTGGAGAGGAGAAAAAAATGAGTGGCTAGTTTTTTTGCTTGTTTGTTAAGATTTTTTTTATTGGGGAATTGGGGGATGGGGACAGTGCTGGGGAATTGCAGGAAGGGGAACAGACGAGATGCTGTCCTTTCATTCTTCTGTCTAGTTGTGGAGGACGTTGCTTCACTGGCCCAAGTTGGCACCATCATTGCACTCTTCCTGGGAGAGGCAGATTAGTCGCTGGCTTCTGGATGGCCGCTCACAGCGGCTGCTGGCCGCTCACGTTGGCTGCTGGCCGCTCACGTTGGCTGCTGACTATACACAGTAGCCCATGGCAACCCACTGCAGAAGGGGCTGCAGCCTACACCATTGCAGGCGACTCACGGCAGCCCAGCTCCAGGTTGAGCTGTTGTTCAGCATCTTAGCTGTAGAGGGCAGTGTCACTGGCCTTCATATGTCGGATCCGAACCGGGGCCCTCTGGCGTCCCAAGTCAGCTCTTAACCAATGCACCACTTGGCCGGCCCATGAGTGGCTGGTTTTAATTTTGGCTTTTCAATTAGATTGTTTACTGTGAGTCTGAACAAAACTTTTCGCTGGATAAATGAGAATCTGAACTTGTTCAGCTCCGAAGATGAGGGGCATTTACTCCCTCCAGCCCGAGTTTTGGGTATTCTTTGGTGACTAAGAATCTTTGTGGAGGTGTTTGAGGGTACCCCTCAAAACGTGCAGTGGCCCCATAGGGATTTCCAACACAACTGTAATTAAATATTTTACTCGTCCGGGGACGCGCACATAAAGGCTAGTTACCTAGCGCTCCGAGTCCTCATGGTTGTATTAGACAGCCGGGAAGAGAAACAGAGACACGTAAGAGGGTTGAAGCGACTCGGGAGGTGACAGCCCCTTGGAGCTCAACCCATAAGCAGCACACTTCAACCCACTACATAATATCACTAGATATTTGTTCAGACTCTGCAGATCTCAAAAGAAAACTAAAAATTAACATGGGAAATTGTACCTCAAAGGCTGACAAGCTCCCAGACTCCAGTGCCATTATCTCCTACAGATAGATGTATAGTTCCTAGGAGTTTTGCAAGTACTTACAGACATGGAAAGATTTATCTAGAAGTGATATCAACTTAAGATGGCCAAAATGGAGCTCTCTTGACATCTAAATTTTTGTGTGCACAATTAGAAAAAGCCGGCTTAAAAAGTCAAACTAAATGGAAGTGGGAAGCTTACCTCAAGTGACAAATAGAAGCCTCTGAAATGGTACAGAGAGGTTAATAAAAAAATTTTTGAGACTGTCTCTGAACTAAAGGTTTCTAAAGTTGCTAAATGCCAACACCCCACTTTTCCCTCTTCGATTGTCCCAATATGTACTTTACTTGTCTGGACCTACTCTCCTTTTTCCTCTGTCTCTCTCTTCTGCAGGTCTCCCTTGCAGCTCCGTTCAGAGAGGAGCTGGTCTTGGGTGGAGGGGAATCCGCGGTTGTATGCAGGCAGAACAAAGAAATCTAAAGATTCCCCCAACCCTCTCTAGGACCCTGATGAGTTCACAAAGGAATTTAAATTAAGTGTTAGAACGAACTTATGATCCTAGCTTTCCTGTTTAACACACCTACTGGTTTCTGGGAGCAAAGCAACAAGATTACTAAGTAAGTTTTGCTAGGGAAACTCCTGTAGAGGAATCTGCTTTTACTGTAAAAAGTCAGGTTACCTTAAGGATTATAGAAAACTGAAATGGGATTTAAAAAAAATAAAATAAAATAATTAATAATAATAATAATAAAAATAATAAAAACAAGCATAGGGCTGGCTCCAAGGATCGCGAGGGCATTTCCCCTTCTTACTAACACCGGGGCTCCTTTATCTGTTAACACTGACTTAGTTGCCCTCCCCCTTGGAGTAAAGCTTCTGTACAGTGGTAGGGACATCTAATCAAGCAATGTCTGTTTTTTAAATCAGAACTGGTTCCCTTCCAACTAGGAAATGTTAAGGTGCAACATCTAGTTTTACTACTCAAATCTGCCCCAACTCCCCTGATATGTGAGACTTTCTAACCAATAATGCTCACATATCCTCCTAGAAGGGTGAAATGTATTTAGGACTAAATAAATCAGACTGGGAAAATGATTTTAAAAGAAAGTACATGGGGAAAAAAAACAAACAAAAAAACTAGTCTTGAGGCTGTTTGTTTCAGGATGTTCCAATTCAACTTGAGGCTTTTTCCAGTACAGATATTGACAAGAGAAAGTCAGCCACTCCTATTTAAATAACTGTTGATCATACTTTGCCTCTACCTTATATTTGCCAATATCCTTTAAGACCTGATACAGTAACTAAAATTACCTCATTACAAGATTACCTTTAAAAGAGGGGGTTTATAATTGCTTTTCCACCTGGGAAGATAAGAGTTTACTTGGACAGTAATACCCCAGGGGTATACCAGAGCGTCCCACCTATTTCTCTCAGATACTAAAAGCTGATTTAAAATTGACTTTCCCAGAAATTCTACTCTAATCCAATGTGTGGATGATTTACTCTTATGCTCTAGGATATATTAGACTCCTAAAAGGACACAACTTACCTATTGATATATTAGACTCCTAAAAGGACACAACTTACCTATTACAGTAACCAGTCATAAAAGACACTGGGACTCAAAGGGCAAGCCTTGATTCTGTTTACACCAAGTAAAATACCTTGGTTATCTAATATCTAAAGATAGGCTACTAATTAACCCTGAAAGACTTGGAGGAATAATATCCTTTCCTCTTCCAAGAACAACAACAACAAAAAACAGCTTAGAGGATTCCTGAGTTTGATTGGATACTGTCTCAATTAGGTTCCAAATTTTTCATTAAATCTCAGCCTCTGTATATCTTAAGATCAGTTCAATCCAATCCAACTCAATGGAATCCTGAAGGGAAACAAGCTAAAGAAGCTCTAGACAATTAAACTCAGTTGTTAAAGGTCTCTCTTCCTGCACAACAGCCATCTCTGTTACAGTCATGTTATGCAAACAGAAGAGATTGTTATAGATGCTCCTTTATGTTACTCATTCTGCTGAATCCTTACTAAACTCTCATCATGCTCAGCACTTCTGTCAGTCGACAGGCTTCTTATAAAGTACTCTTGCTTTCTGTGCCTAATATTTTTTAAGTCAATGTAACAGTCTAACCCAGCAACTTTGTTACCCTCTTCACAGGATGGAGACATCCGCAACTG